CTGTAGAACACTGTTCCAACCATTATGATATAAATGTTTGTAATCAGGATGTATGCTGTAGAACACTGTTCCAACCATTATGATATAAATGTTTGTAATCAGGATGTATGCTGTAGAACACTGTTCCAACCATTATGATATAAATGTTTGTAATCAGGATGTATGCTGTAGAACACTGTTCCAACCATTATGATATAAATGTTTGTAATCAGGATGTATTCTGTAGAACACTGTTCCAACCATTATGATATAAATGTTTGTAATCAGGATGTATGCTGTAGAACACTGTTCCAACCATTATGATATAAATGTTTGTAATCAGGATGTATGCTGTAGAACACTGTTCCAACCATTATGATATAAATGTTTGAAATCAGGATGTATGCTGTAGGACACTGTTCCAACCATTATGATATAAATGTTTGAAATCAGGATGTATGCTGTAGGACACTGTTCCAACCATTATGATATAAATGTTTGAAATCAGGATGTATGCTGTAGGACACTGTTCCAACCATTATGATATAAATGTTTGAAATCAGGATGTATGCTGTAGGACACTGTTCCAACCATTATGATATAAATGTTTGAAATCAGGATGTATGCTGTAGGACACTGTTCCAACCATTATGATATAAATGTTTGTAATCAGGATGTATGCCGTAGGACACTGTTCCAACCATTATGATATAAATGTTTGAAATCAGGATGTATGCTGTAGGACACTGTTCCAACCATTATGATATAAATGTTTGAAATCAGGATGTATGCTGTAGAACACTGTTCCAACCATTATGATATAAATGTTTGTAATCAGGATGTATGCTGTAGAACACTGTTCCAACCATTATGATATAAATGTTTGTAATCAGGATGTATGCTGTAGAACACTGTTCCAACCATTATGATATAAATGTTTGTAATCAGGATGTATGCTGTAGGACACTGTTCCAACCATTATGATATAAATGTTTGAAATCAGGATGTATGCTGTAGGACACTGTTCCAACCATTATGATATAAATGTTTGAAATCAGGATGTATGCTGTAGGACACTGTTCCAACCATTATGATATAAGTGTTTGAAATCAGGATGTATGCTGTAGGACACTGTTCCAACCATTATGATATAAATGTTTGAAATCAGGATGTATGCTGTAGGACACTGTTCCAACCATTATGATATAAATGTTTGAAATCAGGATGTATGCTGTAGAACACTGTTCCAACCATTATGATATAAATGTTTGAAATCAGGATGTATGCTGTAGGACACTGTTCCAACCATTATGATATAAATGTTTGAAATCAGGATGTATGCTGTAGGACACTGTTCCAACCATTATGATATAAATGTTTGAAATCAGGATGTATGCTGTAGGACACTGTTCCAACCATTATGATATAAATGTTTGAAATCAGGATGTATGCTGTAGGACACTGTTCCAACCATTATGATATAAATGTTTGAAATCAGGATGTATGCTGTAGGACACTGTTCCAACCATTATGATATAAATGTTTGAAATCAGGATGTATGCTGTAGGACACTGTTCCAACCATTATGATATAAATGTTTGAAATCAGGATGTATGCTGTAGGACACTGTTCCAACCATTATGATATAAATGTTTGAAATCAGGATGTATGCTGTAGGACACTGTTCCAACCATTATGATATAAATGTTTGAAATCAGGATGTATGCTGTAGGACACTGTTCCAACCATTATGATATAAATGTTTGAAATCAGGATGTATGCCGTAGGACACTGATCGAACATCTGTGATATACTTGTTCGTAATCAGGATGTATGACGTAGGACACTGTTCCCACCTCTGTGAGATATTTGTTTGTACCCTTTGTCAGATATATATATGTGTTCAGCCTGTATGTATGCGGGACACTGTTCCCACCTTTGTGAGATTTATGTGTGTAGCCTGTATGTATGCGGGATAATGTTCCCACCTTTGTGAGATTTATGTGTGTAGCCTGTATGTATGCGGGACAATGTTGCCACCTTTGTGAGATTTATGTGTGTAGCCTGTATGTATGCGGGATAATGTTCCCACCTTTGTGAGATATTTGTTTGTACCCTTTGTCAGATATATATGTGTGTGTAGCCTGTATGTATGCGGGACACTGTTCCCACCTCTGTGAGATGTATGTGTGTAGCCTGTATGTTTTCGGGACACTGTTCCCACCTTTCTGAGATATATATGTGTAGCCTGTATGTATGCGGGACTACTGTTCCAACCATTGTGAGATATATCTGTGTAGCCTGTATGTATGCGTGACACTGTTCCCACCTTTGTGAGATTTATGTGTGTAGCCTGTATGTGTGCGGGACACTGTTCTCACCTTTGTGCGATCTATGTGTGTAGCCTCTATGTATGCGTGACAATGTTCCCACCTTTGTGAGATATATGTTTGTAGCCTGTGTGTATGTGGAATAATGTTCCACCTTTGTGAGAACTATGTGTGTAGACTGAATGTATGCGGGACACTGTTCTCACTATTGTGAGATTTATGTGTGTAGACTATATATGCGGGACACTGTTCCCTGTGGGGTGAGATATAAGATTTTACAATGAGTCGAATAAGGTGGATAAGGGACCCCTCGCTTATTCGGCTCTTGTTTACTTAAATAATTGGTCATGTCAGATGATATTATAGACGGGCAGCTGTGTCCTGTGCTGTTCGTTATGAATGTTTCACCTCTAACACAGCCAACAGCGGAACAAGCCCACATGTAAATGATGGCTAAATTAGATGTTGTCTTGGAATGTTTGTCAAAATGTATACAGTTGGTATGTACATGTAGACATTCCGCCATCATGGTTCAGTGAATTATGTAAAATGTGCTCTTGAATGTAAAATATTGATAGACCAACCAAGAAAGATATAGATGGCAAATTATTATCACATGTCACCGCTGATCCAGTTAATTTCCCCATAGAATAGAACGATTGTATTGGATATCAGTACACGTCATTGAAATAATGTAGATACCGCTGTCATATCACTGGGATATTTCTGACATCGAAACATTTGAAACTTGGCACTTCCCTATCCTGTCTGGGAGTAATGTAAATTCCAGTCAAATTGACTGTAATAAATAGGCGATAGAATGTGATATTCTTATTTGAGCTATAAATAGCTACATCGGGGGCAGTACCGGTGTCAGAAGACATAAATTTAGTCCTTGAAATAAACTTGTGGTAGATACAAATATTTTTCTTCAAAATAAAATCCAACGGACAAAATATATATACGGATTTGAATACACTTTCCTAATATCAGTTTGCAACTCTGAGTTTCACGCACCCATGGTATTGCGTACGATCATCAGGCATAATGAAAGATGGTTTTTAGTTTGACCTTTTCTTTTTTGCTCGGCTTGGGGGTTTACCATGGCGACAGGTGGAAACTCAGAGTTGCAAAATGATATAAGGAAAGTGTATTCAAATCTGTATTTATGCTCTACTTTGTATTGAGCACTCTCTTCTGCAATTGGATCATATATATATATATATATATTCAATAAAGGCCTAGGCAAGTCTATATCAACTAAACCTTGTCTAGTCCAGTTTCCTTGATTCCACATATGAAAACTAGAGAAGAGGAAAGGTTCTTTTGAAAACCAAAATATTTTAGAGAAATGTATTCATCGACTAAGTATTAGTCACGGAGAATCCCGCTAAAGCTAGGCTGTGTCAGTGTTATCTGATATGTTGAACTGTTTGCTGAATAAAACAAGAGCACACGGACAAGGGTTAAATGTAGAGATTAAAGCATTACCACCACAAAAGAATCGGTAATATAAGATATATGTTATTTTCATTTGAAACCTCTGAACAATTACGAGTTATTGTATACTTTGCGTCATGGACAGCCACCGTGATCCAATGGTAGAACGTCCGCCCAGAAGTGTTGTCCAAGAATTTATTCTGCGTTGAAAAACAACAAATTTCGCCGCTTTTTATCGTACACCGACAGAAGTACTGTGCGACGATTTCTTTTTTATATAGCAGCTGTGGGAGAACGAATTCTGCCAAATATCTGAAGAACATAAATATATATGAAATGGATGTATATGCTCATGTATAAGGTTATACATTCACTTCTTAAAATAGCCTGCAGTAAATGTCGAAAACTGACGTCAAAATTTCGCTGTCGATGTGCGTGACAGAGGATGGAAACGAAGACAATTTTTGTTCAGTTCACCAAACCATTGCTTTGTGTTTTTTTTAATTCCCTAATTCTTCCTACGATTGTCTACTCATGTGTATTCTGAAAATGTTGAGCCAATGTAAGCAACAAATAGACGAAAGGATAGCTCAAAATAGGAGAAAATGCTACACTGTGTAAAATCTGTATTTTGCTTTGTTTACATTTCACACATTTCACATTGAGCGACATGACGTCATAATGCTGACGCGAAATGTAGAGCGAACGCCTTGCAAAGCTTTCTTTGTTTTTCTTTAGGGACGCCCACCTCATGCTAGCTTACCAAGTTGCCGTGCTTATATGCATTCAATGCCTGTCATATGTTCGAGTGAAGTATTTTACGGTGTAAACAAACTGCTTGAGTATATACAGTGCCATATTTTGTTCGGTGATTCCGTAATTCAGATCGATAACCCCATCAAAACACTGGTTTTGTTTATTTAGTCATGGTAGAATGGGAATAAACAAACTGTGTTTTTCATGTAGAGCTAGGTTACCTGTAGATTAAACCGCGCTCAATTAAATTTGGAACCGTACGCGCAGCGTGAGGTTTCAAATGTTAAATTGTAGCAAGATGTAAACAAACAGTCTGTTGTCTGATTGACGATTAAGTACAAACTTAGGACGTTAAATTAACACAGACATATATAACGACATGCATGGACATATCGCGAGGTGCGGTGCTGACATACCAATCACACATCATCTTAACAATCAAGTTAACAATTTTCTTACCTGATCCGAACACAACAAATGAGAACATGTCTGAAAAAGCTTTTACAAGTTTTATTCATCCCCCAAAACAACAAACAGTTTCACGTAAATAAAGACACACGATGACGTGAACGGCACACCACGTCACTGCCAGGTCTTCTTCACCGTCTACACAAACACGGCACTGACGTCACTGAGCCCCGCGGGACTCCAGCAGATCCGCAATTTGCCGACGTCTCCCGGATCTCGCCACGTCCGCCGCTGTCCGCCCGTCGTTGTTCCTGGCGTCGATGTCCACAACGTTCAGTGACAGCACAAACTTCGCCGTCTCCATGTCTCCTCCCCAACCGACGAGGTGAAGGATGTTGTCACCGTCATCGTCCACCAGTGACACATCGGCTCCTATACTCACCAGGAGCTCCAACACGTCTCTGTGTCCCCACCTTGCTGCATACATCACCGGTGTCCTGCTCAACGCTCCTCTACTTTCGATGTCCAAGACGTTCAGTGACAGCACAAACTTAACCATCTCCATGTCTCCTGCATAACAGGCGAAGTGAAGAATGCTGCTACCGCCCTCGTCCACCAGTGACACATCGGCTCCTTTCCTCACCAGGAGCTCCACCACTTCTCCGTGTCCAAACCCTGCTGCCCACATCACCGGTGTCCTGCTATTACTGTCCCTACAGTTGACGTCGACATTCAGAGTCAGGAGCCGCTTCATCTCCTCCAGGTTCCCCCTTCTGCTGGCGTCCATGAGGACGTCGCAGTCTGCTGGTGATGGAGTCGCTGTAACACAAAGTAAACTCTGTACACATTCAGACATCATCGTCATACATCTACTGTGCTCACGTCTCAAAATGGTGACAGGAAACGACATCAAATACTTCCAACATGGTTGACAATACAACGATCAAGGGGAAGGGCGGCAGCTGGTTCATGAAATCAAGGATTATGTATTCAATGTTTAAAATATTTCTGATACATCCAGTAGTTGTAACATTATTCTGTGTATGGCTGGAGAGTTGATGAAGTGAGCTTTATAAGATAATACTGTCAGTACAGTTGCTGTTTGGAAATGTGAGGATATTAAGACATGACATTGGTTTATGTCAGCCTGTTTGTTTTTGTTTTATGCCGCACTCAGCAGTAGTCCAGCAATAAGATGGCGGGGTCTGATACAGACAGTCCAGTGATTGATAACATGAGCACCAATCTACACAACTGACAACTACGAAGTCAGATCCAACACGGGTCTATGCCCAAGCTTGTTCATTGTTGGAGGGATTAAAGTGTGAGCTTTCTGCCTGCTGGGTTCTCCAACCTACCCTGTGTAGCAGGTGTTTTTGTGGTCGTCACTGGTGTCCTCTCAGTCCGACTCGAATCACTCGAGGCTGAAAACAGAACATGCTGTTCAGAAAACTATACAAAGCACATAAGCATTATCCATACAAAATAAGGCCATTCTACAAATTTTATGCATTTGATATGTTGACTGATGAATAGAATTCATCTTTCAATTTATCTTAGTAGAGGTAAACATATAAGGTAGTTTAGAAACTAACAAATCACTCAAACGACTATCTTAATATACAACACAAACACTGAGATTGCTGTTCATCTGAGCCGCGCGTCTGTTCACGCTTGTTGGATTGAGCCTTATAGCGGCACTGTCAATAAATTGTTGACTTGTTTCAAATTAATAGGATAATAAAAGATTACATTTATCAGCTTGTTATTGTAGAGACTGTTCACATGAAGGTTTGTGGAGTGAACTTTCTGGCTTATATTTGATACATGTTGATGTGACCTCATCTCGTACAGTTGGACAGTGACACTATCTACCACCTGCTGGGTTCTCCTACCTACCATGTAGATCAGACCTTGTCACTGTTATCTGTTCAGCCCTTTCTCTGTGGCTCCTGTTCCGACTGGGGGCACTGGTGGCTGAAACACAAAATATGCTATATGAATGCACAATACCATTTAAAAAGTGGTCAAATAGTAGTTGGTGTCGTTGCGGTCCGACTCGGGTCGCTCGAGGCTGAAACACAGAACATGCTGTTCAGAAAACAATACAGACCACATAAGCATTAGACATACAAGATCTTCGACAAAGTTTATGTATTTAAATTTTTGACTGATGAATACAATTTGAAAACCATTTATCTTCGTAGAGGTATAACTATAAGGTAGTCTAGCGACTAACAAATCACTCAAACGATAAATATACAACACACACATTGAGATTGATGTATATCTGAGCCGCGCCTGTACACGCTTGTTGGATTGAAACTTACGGTGCTGCTGCCAATTGTTGACTTGCTGAAACACAAAATATGCTGTTCGGTTGGGTTGTGTGAGTTGGGTTTTACACGCTCTTGGCAATATTCCAGCAATATCTGGGCGGGGAACACAAGACATGGTCTTCACACATTGTACCCATGTGGGGGAATCGATCCCGGGTTTTCCCTTGCTTGAAATGTTGCAGGAACTGAATGTAATACAACATCCATCATAAATGAACAATACCACACCAGCGATAGAAATTGGCACTCGTCCTATAGTCCTTGCCAAACATCCCAATAGTTCAGATATCATAATGACTAGGCTCGTAAACATATGCTATTTTAAGGGTTTTATATGTTCCCATTATAAGGACTTAGGACTAAACATGTTAGTTTATATTGCTGTACACAGAAGAGACCGGGTCTCAAATAAACTGAAACACAGAATATGTGCATTTATTATATTGGAACATTCGATGAGGGTATTACATCAGCTACCTACTCTTTATTCCCAATTATGGAATGATTAGTATTTTAGTCTGACTTCCTTGATTGTAGGAAGATTTGTAATGACAATGCATTGACGCCCGCAAGTTGGTCCGTTATTTCGTTGTTGCATGATATCTAGAACTGTATTTGATGATCAATACTATGAATAACAAAACTGGATAGATCTAGTACATACAGGTGAAATGCTGAACACTGTTTTCTAATTGTCATTGCCTTCTATGTTATTCCTGTGTATTTGAATTATTCTCAGGTGTTTGTTGTCACTGAGAATCAATGTACATCGGTATATATATTTTGACCAGGATATGACGTCCACCAGTGTAATTCTGGAGGAACATATATTTCTCGTCCATTTCAACGTCTGAGGACAATGGACAGTTCACACAATTTTTATATCGTCAAATCGACAACTGTCTTGATGGCTTCTCTGTCTGCATACTGCCTTTGTCAATTGATGATAACAGGCTACTAAATGTAGAGTGCTGCGAACCATCGTAAATTATTTGTTGTTCCAAGTGACTTTGCTCGATGTTTTAGTCCCCCCCCTCTCCCATACAAACACTCTTTACTAGTTACAGAAACTGCTGCATTTTACCTCGTCTCTTGCTATAGAGTATTACAAACGTCGATATACGACATGCTACAGATAACTATTTCAGTGATGACATTTTCATGATGATATACAATGAATGTAAAAGAGCATCAGGTATACTTGACTAAGCGCGTGTACAACACAGTGGTAATTCAGTGTCAGGAAAACTCTTTGCAGCACTGTCATAATTCAGCATTCCGAGCGATGGCGGCAGTACACCCATCACAAATCAGCTTACTATCTGAGGCAGAAACTGTAGCCGGTACGACAAGATGTTTGGTACGGTGTTTGGTTGTGTGAAGAAGGGAATATACACCTGGTCCTATTTAGTGATAAGATTGAAATGCCGATTGCCCGTGTGACATGCGCCAAATTTTTTTCGCATTTAACGTCTGTTCTAACTTAGTCATAAAATAATGAGATTTTGCCCTTATGTAGTCTACATTTCCTTGCCATCCTTCAAAAAACAATGTTAGTGCCCTGCAAAAATACACTTGTTCCACATAAGATATTCCGGATTAGAAGAACAAAGCTGAGTGTAAAAATAATGAGGCTGATACATTTGGCCCTGGTTTGTAGTGGGGATGTATTTCAGTAGATTTCTGCCATTTTATGATGTAGAACAACGTTTTAAAAAATATGAGCGAAAAAAAATAGCCGACACTTGACTGAACAGATTTAGAAAAAATCTCATATCGATCTAGTCTTCAGTCTCAGTTGTAAATAAGTGTTATTAGTTCAGGGGATGAAACTTACAACGATATATTTTGCAATATACATATTAAAATAGCTTTTCAGTAGAAACGAGGTATGAATGTGTACATCCAGACGTTTGTTTATCCCTGGTGACAGGCTAAACGAACGTCTGGGTGTAAACATTGTGTGAAGCACCTGATTCCTTCAAAATGTATTCTATTGTACATCAATCTTACAATATTTACAATGTCTGTTTCATTTAATTTCCTAAAAACATTCTGAAGTACAAACTGAAAACTTACCCACCGTTTACGTCCTAACACGAGTGACACATCTCACTGTGACGTGTCTGATTAGGAGCATGGTTTGGTTTGGCGCTCGGCTGCTAGTGCCGATCACTGTTAAATAATACAGTGTGGAGTGATACAAGTCTTACTACAGTCTTACCTTATAGCGTTTCAGATTGCATGCTGAGGTAAAAACTTAAGCCTACTTCATTGGTTAAAGAAATGTACCTCATCATCGTGCGTAAAATATGTCTATATTTTATTCTAAGATGCTTCGCTAAAAGATCAATGGCACCGATTATACTTAACCTGCGACAAAGCATTGTGTCCGCGTGAAGATTTGGAGTAGAATAAGGGACAGGCACATCGGGCTCGACCAGTTTAAAAGAAGTGCAGGCTTGAAGTCAATAAATCGAGTCCTTACAATCAATAAACCCGTGATGATCCGGGGTAGAATGGGTCTTGAGCAACCCCTGCTTGCCGTAAAAGGCGACTATGCTTGTCGTAAGAAGAGACCAACGGGACCGAGTGGTCAGGCTCATTTACTTGGTTGATGCATGTCATCGATCCCAATTGTGTAGATCGATGTACATGATATTAATTACTGGATTGTCTGGTCCAGTTTCAAATATTTACAGACCGCCGTCATATAGCTTGAATATTGCTGAGTTTGGCGTTAAACAACATACAATAACAATCAGGACAAAGGACTGAGTAATCCTAGAAAAGTTTCAAAATCACATGTGCACCTAGCTGTTGCTCAGCGTACGGCATTCAACAATTTACAGCAGTCAAACAAACCGGCCATTGTTTCTCTTCCTCGGCCATGGTCGTCTCACGGCGACGCCATATCTCACCCCAGGCCGTCGATCCCCGTCGGGTACCGTAACATGTAGCACAACCCCCTCGGTAAACACACTATTTCATGGCTTAAGTTGCTGCAACTTGTACAACAGAAAACACCTCTACTCGCAATAACCAGCGACACGGAATTTCGGCTATGTTTACATGTAAGCTCGGCCCCACAATACATTTGTGGAATGTTCAGAGTCACGTGAATAAGTTTAAGTAATTTAATATAAAAAAATAAATTTCAAAATCCTTCGTTTTGCTGCATGTTTATTTTTAAATATACACACACTGAACGGATAAGAAAATGGGACCTTATTATAATAAACTAAACATTTTAGTCATGTTGTATTATGTTTTAAACGTAAATATGTCTCTCAGCTTAAGGGGTATTCAGGCAATCAAGTGGACGAGCCCGTCAGTTAGCCTGTTCGAGGTTTTTCCATTTACCGCATGTTGATACAGATTCGATTTTAAACCCATCTCCAAGAAAAAGATTGAGTATTTTAAAATTCGCAATCTTAGAAAAGTTATAAAGTTTGCTCTGACCGCATGTGTAGTGTAATAAAGTATAGTTTTGCTCTGAACTGTTATAATGTCAAAGCAACGCAAGCTTCCTCGTGCTTTAGCTATAATAGTTCAGGGCAACAATATACTTTATTACACAAGCGCAAACTTTATTTCTTGACTAAAACTCAAAAGTGTGATTAAATGACGTTTTAAGATAATTTAACAACAGGCAAGGTAACAACAAGTACCATCTTTTAACGTTTTGGGGTATGCGTAGATGCAAGTTCCATTACCTATTTTTTTCCAGATATACGTGTGAGATATTAAAAAGAAACATTCTCAACAGCGCCATCGGCTTTTACCATACCAGTAAACACGCACATTGTATTCCGCTATCCCCGTCGCTCACATACAACTGGTGGCCATATTGCCACGTATACGTCCACGCATTTGGCAATTACGTATAGCTTCAGTGCCGTGTGTGAAATGTTGCGTCGTCGTTCACTATCAAACATACCGCTCCTTGCCAAATCCAGTGCGGGAAAATCTCGTGGCTGTCTCGTGACTCGTTTCGTCGTCAGCTACTGTTCAGAAATCTTTTTTTCGGCAATAGAGAAATCTGATGACCTTAGTGATTCGGTTAAAAATGTTAATTCTAAAACAGAATCAGAATGGCGAAAATACGGCCACTGGAGTGAAAACCTTTATTGTACAAAAAAAGACAATTGGAAAGGTGTGACGTGCACAATCACCACGTCTACGTTTCCCTGTGGTCAGTTAAAGAGAGAGCCTCGCTAAGTCCTGGAGGAAAGGGGGGTCCGACGACCGTTGATCCTAAGTACCTTCCTAGACACTCATGTGCCAGCACACACTCATACTAGCATTTTATGAGTGTAAACGCAAGGTTTTATACTCACATCAACTTTACTTAGCTTTAGTCCATCAATGAATACACCATTACCAGGACAGGACAGGCTCGTCATCGAATGGGCAACTGGAGTGACCAAGGTTCGACTCGATCTATTGACTGTAACGATTCGATCTATTGAATGTAACGACTCGATCTATTGACTGTAACGATTCTATCTATTGACTGTAATTACTCGATCTATTGACTGTAATGACTCGATCAATTGACTGTAATGACTCGATCTATTGACTGTAATGACTCGATCTATTGACTGTAACGACTCGATCTATTGACTGTAATGACTCGATCAATTGACTGTAACGACTCGATCTATTGACTGTAATGACTCGATCTGTTGACTGTAACGACTCGATCTATTGACTGTAACGACTCGATCTATTGACTGCAAGCCTGCTCTTCTCACTTTACCATGGGAACATATTTCGTTAAAAAAATAAGACCATGAACTCATGTTTGTGTTTTGATCGGAAAATTACCGATAACTACTGACCAGTTACTCAACCTTATCACAAGCAAACACAGCATCGAAGATATCGCGACGGTAGCCACCATTTTGAATGTTGAATTTGTAAAACATTTCTGACATAGTGATGAAGTGTCCTTTCGTCGCTGTTATATTTCTTATTGCTTATTTTCAAAATATTTACTGAACATGAAATTTGATTGTAGATGAATGCGCCCAGGCATTTAACTCAGTCACAACATACATACTTAAGTCCGTACAGAAAGAGCTAAATCTGTGGGTCGTTGGTTATATGAAGTTTGATGTAGTAAGCATATAAACATCATCCAAACATTACTGGGAAATATAATCTTTAATTTATCGATAAAGAATCGTCAAAAAGGTTATCCTGAAGGACTATTATTTCGCGCCACTTTTAAAAATATATTTCGGTTATACGACGGTGTGGCATGGTGCTGGGATTCGAACCCACGATTATAGTGTTCTGGCACGCCTAGGGGACGCAACTCTGCACGGCGAATTCCGCCGCCGAAAACGACTTGGTTAACCGTGCCTACTCATCAATTTGAAAATGATTATTTCTTGTCTGTTTGCCCCTGTCTGTCTGTCTGTCTGTCCGTCTGTCCGAAATGAAAAAGATTTTTTTCTTGTCTGTCTGTCTGTCTGTCTGTCCCTTTGTATAAATAAGATAACTATTTTTACGGGACTTTATGTTACTCAACTGGACTTTCTTAAAAGAGTCAGTAATATTCCGCTTTGTCTCTTCGTGGGTAAGCCAGCTATACAGGTGTTAGTATGCTTGACGGAACGGTCGCTATACCTGCTATATACCAATTATCAGAATACTTATCTATATCTACAGGGCGTTAGAAAACCCTCTGGCAATTCAATCAGGACGACGAGCTGTTTTAAAAAGGAACTCAGAAAGATGGCATTGTTTCAATATGTGTAGTCATGCTGTTCAATTTCCGTCCACGTCTTGTCACAGATTCGTGTTACTTCGCGTGTCCCGCCGTGATATTGCTAGAATAGTGCTGAAACCATACTAACTCACTCACTAGCTTCGCGTGTCATACACAGATGCCTTTCACATATATGTCAGGCACCTTCATCACACTAAGGTCAGATTAATAATGAATTGATAATATTTTCATTTATGCTTCAATATTCGGTCGCTTTTAAAGATGTAGACATATATTTGGTGATAAACGTCACCGTTTAGCAAAATGTCTATATTACTGGCCAACCAAATCAACGCCAAATGTAAAAGGCAGCCAACATTCCATGCAACTAGGCCTTGCCTATTTAGCACGAAAACAAAACTATTGTGTCTATATCATGATTCTCCACGGGACAACGGTCATTCCAAGGAACCACCTGTCAAAGTATACTATAGATCATGCTTTTACTTTGTGTTTTTCAACATTTACACGAACGAACGATCGAGCTGAACGAGGAAAGACCAAGTGATGAAACTAGACTCGTGGCTTCAAATATATAAATTTTCAATGCAAATGAATAACCAATCTATATTATCCGCCGAAACAGATTCCAGTTTGTATGGAGGGCAAAATACAGTAAACATTATGTGAATGACCACTGAAAATCAGTGATGACACCAAGTGTTCGCTAAATGGAACGTTAACGTGTC